TTTCATACATATACACACACAAGGACCAGAAACAAATACCAAATACCAAATACAGTAGACGTGATGGTGGTAGTAAATGGAACACTATTTGGAATTGCATAAACAAGTTCATTGGTTATCTCACTCTCAACAAGATCTTGGTGCAAATATTGAAACATTCTCAGATTGTAAAAAAATATCATAAATCTAACTTTCTGTACTACAAGTTTACATATCACACATGTAATTTACTGAAAACATACAAATTTACATATTTAAATTATCAACATATATTTCCATATAGATCTGTACCTTTATTTTACACAAAAATGTGTCAATATCCAATTTGATCATTCATAAAGCTGACAGGTAATATTTCAAGCACAGCTTGTTAAATACTTACGCAGCACTCCACTGCTTTTCTCTAATGTTATAGCACATTCCCTGCAAAGCGCCCACAGTTCCTCTTCATTTAACGGACCATTTCTGACTTCCAACACACACTTCACAGATTTAGAAAGATCCTTATGTGTAGATTTGAAATGTAATTCTTTATCCAACTTTTCATCAGTGCCAAGTGCATTACTCATTTCCCCTTCATTAAGAGATATGGGCACAAATCCCATGGTGTCCTCTGTTGGTGATAAGTATTGGTCTTTCTGGCTTAAATATGTCTCAGACTGCTTTGGCTTGTCAATACTGTATCTTTTAGGAACAGGAATTTTACTTGATATGTTTTTACCATCCTCAGAATCAATTTTTGAAGTTGTTTTAGTCCTTGTTTTATTCTCACTGCTGTTATCATTATCACTACTGGTTTGACTTCTGGGTGAACTTTCCTCACTTAGATTTCCGTTCACATTCTTTGGCGTGTACAATTTGTTTAAGATTTCCTGGGCTCTTTTGGACAGCTGGTCAAAAGCAGCAAGTGTATTCCCTGAGCTGGCTTGTTCTCCATCTGTTTTCTCTGTATCCTCATCACGGACACACTGTGTATGTGTTCTGGATAGTCTTTCTGGTCTTCTATTATCCATCCTATGTTCTATTACATTGCCTCTTTCTGTTAAATATTCTTCAATATCATCTACTCCATTGAAATTGGCATTAATAAAGTCTTCATTGATATCACCATTCAGTTCAACATCATTTTCTGAAACATAAACAAAATGTGAAGCATATTTTCACTTGTTATCATCATATATTGCCAAAGCAGTGTTAAATATATTATTTACATCTTTCATATGGGACATCCATGTACATGTATACTTTTTGTATGAGTACACAGACATCCATGACGATCAACCCAACAATTCTCCCTAATGCTAGGAGGGAAACACTCTACTATGCCACTCTTCAGAATATTTCATTTTTCTTCAAACTTCCTACATTATTTACAACAGATTACTTTATATTATACATGTATTCTCACTTGGAGTTTATTTTCACTGAAAGGGTATAAATACAATTTATTATTTATTTTTCTTCCGTGGTTTGTATGTAGTTTTATGACAAATGAAATCAAATAATAACTTGTGTCAAAACAAAATTGAGTTTAATGAAAGATGCATGTTTGCTTACCAGAAAAATGTACATTATCCAGTGATTCTATAGACAATATTCGTAATCCAATAGATGATAGTTTGTAGCAGATATGTTGAGCGTCTTGGCCATGTAATTGTTCATCACAAATACGAAGTACTTCATTCAATGTGGGTCTATCTCTGATGAGGTCTAAGCACATACATGTTATTAAATCATTTAGTTCATCGCTGATTTCAAGTTCCAATGTATCAGGTAAATTGTACTCTATCGCTGACCATAAAGTGTTGCCAAGGGAATACAGGTGACCCTGTAAAAAAGAGAAAAAACATTGAAGGATATGCGAATATACTTCACTCCATATGTTGAGATCAGCATATAACACTATAGTT